CCCTACCAGGTAACATGACCTGTGTAGCTCCACCTGCTGAAAACCCCTTGACATCAGATTAAAAATCACATTTGTCTACTTCTGCAGGGACTGTCAGCATTCAGCATGGCCAAAGGGCATCAGCAGCACTGATAGACTGTGCTTGCCCCTCAGCTGTTCTGGGTAGGGGCTGTACCAGTGTAGACCAGGTAAAGCTCTGGTGTGGACCATCACGAACACCATAAGGGCCTTAGGGCTGGTAATTCATTCTGCTTGTGAAGCTCTGGTTTCTCCAGCACAGGCTCAAGCAGAAGGGATTTGTGGTTGGGCATTCAAATGGGAAATCCTTTTCTGTTGTAGGGAAGAACCTCTCCATTGCATTTTCTAGAGATGGCATCCAGACCAAAAAACTGGTGCACCAGAAATTCACAAGGGTTCAGACATGATCAAATTAATTATTTCACAGGGACAGATTTATTTGGACATGTGCATGATGTTTCATTTCACCCAAATCCCAAGCTCATCCAAACCTTTCCTTGTTGGACTGTCCCTCTTCACACCACACAGCAGCACAAGCTGACACACACAACTCTGATACTGTAACCCAGACAAGGATTTTTAAGCCTGCACAAGGCAAATCACAGCTCAAGCTCTTGAGTAAGGTTTTCAGAGACAGAACAGAATTGTTAAACCCTTTGCTATGAAATACCACGTTAAGAAGAACTTACATCATCTGCAAACCTCAATTTTCCTACCTGCAAGAGAAGGATGACAGTCTTTTGACTCCCTGGGTGTTGCTAGGATTAGACAATGTTTACTCAACCTTAATGTAGACTTTTTTTGGTGTCTTGTGTTATTGCTACTGTCACATTATAGAAAGGTCAACGAACACAGTGAGTCAGAGCCTTCCCACAGTGTTAGCGTCGCCCTCAGAGCTTAGCCAGGCTCTGTATTTGGATAAAGCCCACCACAATCCCACCCTGAAAAGATCCCAATGTACGTCAGAGTGGCAGCCCTTTCCTGTCACTGCCTCGCCTCAGTGTTTAGGATAAGGAGCACTTGGAAGATGATGCTGAAATTGAAGCAGGGAAAGAAAACAAACCCAAACCACACATACAGGGGGGGGACAAAAAATAAAAAAGAAAGGTAAAAATAAACCAAACTCCCCTCAGAAAAAACTTGAGCTTTAGAGAACCTCTAGCCAGAGTCAGAAGGCAGGGAGAGAAGAGATGTGGACAGAGATATGTTCAGGCAGATATTAAACTGAACATAGGGGAAAAGAGTCTCCCACTTCTTCGCCAATTAGAAACCTTCAGTGAGAACCTCTTGCCAGCCCAGCACCTCACGTAAAACAGCAGTCATGTTACCAAACGTTTTTCATAAAGCACTTGGAAATATTGAGGACCTTAGTCATCTCCAACAAAAATACAGACCTTTTTCTGGGAAAAGCATTGATTCTCTGACCCTGCAGTTCTTACCTGGAAATCTCTTGCACCCCATGAACTCAAGGCAGGGCTGCAACACCAATCCTTAGCACCCTGTCCCCTGGCTGGAGACGCTGTTTCTTGGCTCCCCAGCCAGCTGTGAGGTATCCTGCATTGGGATCAGAAAGCCACGTGAACCAGCCATATCCCACATTCTCCAGGCTCTTTGCCATGGAGCTGCGAGTCCCAGGTCCCAAGAATGCTGACTTTAAACCAACAACGCACAAATCAAACTGCTGGTGGGTGACAGAAATTTCAACACACTGAGAGCAGAGTAATGCCATGCAAAGCTCTCACCTGGGGCTTTCTTCTCTCCTCATCCTGGCCTTAAATACTCCATCTCTGCATCCCTTCTCTCTCCCTTCACAACATACCCACCCCATCTCCACTACTTCCCCTATCGCAGCAGCTTTAGCACTCTAAATTACTCACTGCAAACACCTCATATCTTCTAGCTCATACCCCTGCTTCTCAAATCCCTACCTTCCTTCTCCATGTAATCCCCCCCAAGTCCTTACCTCTCCCACACCACATCCACTGCTGATCAACACCACGAATCACAGATACCCCAAACCAGTGCTTTTTGAAAGTTCTTCTCAATAATACATTTTCAGTACTTTCAACATCACGATGACCCACTGCTGGCTGACCACCACCCAGGCTGGTCAGGGCGGGCAGTGCAAATACATGACAGGGTGCCAGATCTGTGCCCAGGGCGGTGGTGAGACAGAAGAGGAAGGGACTCATCAGCACAACACAACAGGCAACAAGACACTGCACGACAGACCGTGTGTTGCAGGGTCTGTGCTCCACTTGGAGCTTCCAGACAGCTGTTCAAGGAAATTGCCATCAATGTCAGCCTCACCACTGCTATTAGACATCTCATCCATGTCCAGGCCCAGCTTGAACCCATTTAACTTGTAAGGGATAATGAGATAACAGCATGACATGTTGCAGCTGAAGGTTATTTAAACACCCATCTGGTACCTGTTATGCAGCATACATCCTATTGTTGTATAGGAAATATATGCCACCTCCCTCCCACATGGAAAGGAGAAGATCTATAGATGTGTCCCATGCTACTCCTTCTTTTTGCATAGATGAAGTAATTCTCCTTCTTTTTGTTGTTTCTAGCATATCACTTTGCATTCCCTGTCTGTATCTGGGGAGATGCAGTCCCTTCCAGGCTGGTGAAACCTTGTGAAAGGATGCAAGACCACAATGAAAAATTTACTATGGATGTCTCATTGCCCGCTTCACACATCAGTCAGGAGAGAGTCCACGCCATGTGGGTTTAAAAGGGTGGACCATAAAGTATGAGGCCAATTCACCTTTTGCAAAACACAATTGGCACTACACTTTATCCCAGAGAGATTTAGGGGTGACAATCCATTTCAGTGTTCATGGGACCACACTATGCTTCTACAGAGGCACAACGAAATATCTGCTGAGCATGTGAGGTAAGCAACACAACCTGCTTGCACCTTTAATTCAGATGTACAGCCAAGAAAACCTACAGATCCCAGCTAAACAGCCTCATTTCTTTATTCAAACTCTCCGTCTTCCTTTGTAAGATGACTTTGGCCTGTGTGGCTCTTGCTCTCGGTGAACCCTTGTTGTATGGTATCCCCAGAAATCACGTTTCATAACACAAGTGCTCAGCTCTGCAGCTGTGTGCTCTCTCTTCTGTTTTTCTCAGGCGTGACTGTTTTCTGCAAAAGCTGTTCTACCCTGCAAATCCTGGACTAAAACCTTTGTGCGACACCCCATCTAGTGTTCAGCACGGACAAATGCAGAGAAACGCTGCGGCAAGGAAACAAGACTTGACTGGAAAACTCCCAGCGTTTTTTTCCAGCGGTATTATAGCACCTTTGTAAAACTATCACTTGTCTCCAAGAGAGCCCTGACAGAGTCCAGGCAACATGAAAATCTGCAAATGGCACTGTCAGTTCCTCCCTCTGGCCCCTGTGCTGCCTCCGGGTGTCCTAACGGAGAGATGGCAGCTGGAAAGCCCAGCAAGCCTTGATCCTCAGGTCTCAGCTCCTTGGCTGCCAGCACTGGGACTCTTGAGGACACCCCTCCGTGGGTGAGATATCGGGGAAAACTACCTTGGGATAACAAGCCAAGAGCCTGAGCTGTGCCCACCTCAAGACTCGACAGCCGCTGCCACTGAGGACTTTCAAAACAGGGAGCAAGGGGGCTTCCTGGGTGTCACTGCAGTCAGCAGCACAGGGCACTCGTTTCAAGAGAGACGTCAAATCCCGAGCAGGTATTCTGAATACTAAATAATGCTGCTCGGTGTTTTTCTAATGAGATTTGAATAATAAAATGATAATTACTTTAAATAATTTTCCACATATTTTTTTTTCATTTAAAAAAAAAAGGTTTTGCTGAGAAAATGAAAGCTGTTTCAGTGTCTGTCTTTCCCCTTTGCAAACACACGGTTTAGGTGGTAGGGGATCATAAAGGTGTCAGGACAAAATATGTGCTCTGAGAACTTGGTTTCAATAAAGCAGTTTTCTGACATGTTCAGTCCTGTGAGTTGCAGAGTTCCAGCCACTGCTATGGAAACCATTGGGCTCTGCAATGCCAGGTGCACAACCCACTCTGAACTGAGCCCAACACAAGCATCACTATGCTCCTGGTTAATCACCAGAGCAATTAGCACCTCGGTTAAGATGCAGTGAGGTCCCAGGCCTGCTCCCTCCAGAACTGGGATTGTTCTGGTGAAACACCTGCCCTTCCCATGCTCACCACACTCAGTTCTCAGGAGCGGCGTGACAAGCCTGTTAGCTCATTAACACCTCCAGCTCACAGCACACTTGGCTTCCATCCTCTCCAACAGCCTCAGGTCCCATGCTCCAGGAAGTTTCTCTCCAATTTCTGTTTTGCTTTCATTTCCTGCTGTGCCAGGCTGGCTTTCAGTTCCCACCATGAAGCTTCTGAATGCTGCTCTATTCCTTATTCTTGGGCCCACCTTGATGCCAGCTTTGGACACTCTCAGCACCTCAATCCTCACAGGATGCGCTGCTCTTGCTTGGCAGCTCCTCTCCCCTCACTCTTGGCTCAAGTGCCATTTCCTGAAGTGCTGCAATATGAAGGACACACTGAACATACCAGGTAAGGCAAGGGCAGCTTGAGCTGAATTGTCAGTGAGACCAGCTGATGGTCCTGCCCAGGGTGCTCAGGGCTTCCTTTTTAAAGCCAGCCTCCTTTGGGGTGGTTGTGGAAAGATAGGAGTTATCACCCACAGTGGCTCTAGAAGCCAAAGGCTAACCTGAAATTGCTTATCCCACAAGTAGTCACATACCCTGCTTCTCATGGCAGTACTGGAGCATTTTCCTTGCTGGTGTCTTGGTTTATATTGGCAGAAGCAGACAAAATTCTGAAGGTGAATTCAAGGTTAAGAGCTAATGAAATAATCCCACATCTTCTTGAGAAGGACACCCTGGTGGTATCCCACACCCCAGGCGGAGGTTGCCTGTAATGTATGTCAAATGAGCAGCAATTAGTGGTAGCTCTAGATTCAAAACATGCTGCTTCGCTTCCCTGAGACAAGCAGGCAGGCTGCCCCCAGTGACTGGGGAAGAAAGGGTTGCTTCTTGTAAAAGAGCTTATGCAACCTTTTAACCATAAACTACTGATCCTGCCACCTGGAAATTCCCCTTCCCTTTGCCATGGGAACATGGCATAAACCTTGACAATGGGATTATAAATACTGTTTCATTTCAGAGCTAGAACAAAGGCCTCAAAACAAATTCTCAACTGCTGGAGACCTGTGTGCCTTCCAAGTACTTCAATGTGTCACTTCCTACCAGCTCTGGATTTGTCTGCTTACAAACAGGCTGTTTTCTAGTACTTTAGCCACTGAAACATCAATTGTGGTCTTTTTTTCAAGACAACTTGATATAGCAACAGAAGCACATTCTTCCATAAATCTGAGGTATGCTAGATGCCACGAAAACAGTTAACGAGAATTCAGAGCATGCAGTGAACAAGCCTCTGCAAACACATTAGATCCCATTCCAGGACTTTATAGGAGGCAGTAGCCACAATGCTGTGGGACTCCTGCCTATCTCACACTAGGGGCTTGTTTCCCATAAATGCCATCAAGAGTCTGATTCATGAGTCTGCTCCTCAGCTGGATTCTCTCTGGATTCACAACCTTGTCATGGCCAGAGAGCAGCAAATATTTGTTCTCTTCGATGGTCATTCAGCTGCAACAAAGAAAAAAAAAAAGAGGGAGGAATAATATGGCATTTTCTGACTCTTCTCTCCCCTCATTCCTTCAGTTTTAAAGAGGGATTTGGACCAAAAAGTCTTTGGCCAGCACCTTGCTATCCAGATAGTTCTGAAAGTTCTGAGTGCAAATATACAATCCGAACGGCCCAGGAAGCCCCTGGTGATGTCCTTCCACGGCTGGACTGGAACAGGCAAATCGTTCATCAGCAGTATCATTGCAGAGAACCTCTATCAGCTTAGTACACCAAGGAGGATGTTTGTGCACCACTTCAGCACAATACTGCATTTCCCACACCTTTCACACGTCCATCTCTATAAGGTACTTCCAGCTTTATCTCACCTTCCTTAATTTATGTGCAATCGTGAGTGCAAATCCCAGGTAATTTTCTCCTCTTGTTACAGGAGCAGCTGCAGAATTGGATTCGGGGCAATGTCAGCACCTGTCCAAGGTCCCTTTTTATCTTCTCTGAAATGGATCAGATGCCACATGGCCTGATAGACTCTATCATGCCGTTCCTTGGCTACCATGGAGAGGTTGATGGTGTTTACTATGGCAAGGCAATCTTCCTCTTTCTGAAGTAAGAAAAAACAAAGGTGAAAAGGGAATTACCGTCCCACAGAATCTGCAGAGACAAAGGGAGTAACAAGCGCTGATAGGTTTGTAGCTCAGCAGCTCAAGGTCCCTTGCTGTCTGTCTTTATAGCACGTGGTCAACAAACAGGCCCGGCCATCATGTCAGTCAGATCTGAGCTATTCAGCACTATAAAGAGCAGTGACCTGGCCCAGGGCTGAAAAGGCTCCAATTCCTCAAGTGAATGGGAGTTCAACAAGTATCTGCAGTGGCCTCCAAAAGTACTGGAGATGCCACTTTCACAACAGTCAGTAAACATGTTTTCTCCAGCTCTATAACACCACTGTTAGGCTGAAAGCTCTTCGTAAGGTGTGTGGGACTCCCCTAGGGGGCTCTTTAGGTGCAGAAAGGGGAGAACTCACTTATAGAAGGCCACGTGCATACACAGACCAAGGGAGCACAGTTCCTCCGCGTCTTACTCCTGGGAAACCCCTTTGCTGAGGGTCATTCCAGCTCTTTTCACGTGACATAACTGAAGCAAGCCCGAATGCCAAGCTTTCAGCTGGTGTACCTCCCAGCTTGTCTTTATGTTCAAACCCATGCCCAAATACCAATATCTCAGCTGGAGGCAGCAATGACCACAGTGAGCACAGCTTCTGGAGAGCCTCCCAGTAACACCTGACTGTGCAACCAGTCCCCCTGCTTTGCTGCAATGACCAGTTTGAGCCCCTGTGCCAGAGGAGAGCTCATCCCTTCAGACACTGCGGTCAGTTAGGAGGTACAGTGATCCTTGTCACTTCCCATCTCTGTAGGGACATGTCAACTCCATGCCAGTGCAGAATCACACAAAGTGACTTAAAGCACTGCCAAGATCTGAGCAATAAAGATGGCAACGATACAGAGGTACAGCTCTAATGAGCCAGTGAATGTCTTTTCTAACAGCAATGCAGGCGGAGATAAGATAACAGAGATTGCTCTCGACCACTGGAGAAGGATGAAGAGAAGAGAAGACATTCCCCTGAAGACACTCCAGTCTCTGCTCTCGGAGGAAATCTTCACGAACAGAAACAGTGAGTACCTCTGGGCTCAGTCCCAGGACTGCTGATGTCTTCTCCAAAATGCTTCACAAAGCGTTCAGCAACACACTGACCTCTGCAGCACTCTGGTGGTAAAGCTCCCTCTCCTCTCTTCCAGGTGGTTTATTTCAAAGCCAGCTGATCCAGAAGAACGTGATTGACTATTTCATCCCTTTCCTTCCTCTCGAGTATAAACACGTGACACAGTGTGTCCGGCAGGAGCTGCGCACACAAGGACATCCCGAGGATGAAGACTTCATCGCAGAGATTGCAATGGCAATGACCGACTACCCCAGCGAAGAAAGACTCTACTCCACCAAAGGCTGCAAGACGGTAGCCACCAAAGTGTCTCTGGGTATCTAGGCATCCCCAGGCCAAATGTCTCATCTTCTTGTTACAAGACCACAAGAGATGGAAGAAGCAGTACCTTTCTTTCCCCTCCCTGCAGCTCCATCTACACCCTCTTCCTGGAAGGGATTCAGGCTGTCCCATACCAACGGCACCTTTTGTGGAGCTCTTGAATAAATAAATACATAGGACACTGCAACAATTATGGTACAGAGTAAGCATAAGAGACATAGATGGGTGATGAGGCTTGCTCTAGTGTTGTCCGAAAAGCCAGATTCGTCACCTGGCATGCAATCAGCCAATCTCATACGCCAAGTCGAGACATTGATTTTATTTCAGAGCTGCGCAGGGCTGGGTGCTCAGTGGTTTCCCACAAAGCAAGCACACTACACGCAGAATTTACAACATATTTGTCTTGCTACATGATTAGTGAAACTCCACCTAAAACTTCACCGATTGATTACTGAATACTACCATTTCTGTTATAGGTTGGTCATATATAAATTAGCCTCGCTTTCCATGTAAATTTGCACACATGCACCTTACAGGTGTGGGGGGACAAGCCTTTTCAGTCTTGAATCGAGTCGGTGGTTACCATCTCCCCCTGCCACATTCACCTATCCCCCAGTTTCCACAACTGGTGCTGACTTCATCCTCATCAGGTACTCATCCAGCCTCCGGTGCCTCTTTGGGTAGGGGGATCAGCCTCTTCCCAGCCTCATAGCTTCTCCACAAGGATATCGTCGTTAAGGAGTGCAAAGAAAGTGATCAGGAGTCTGCAGCTAATCACCCCTGACAACACCAAGGCTCTTGCTGTCCTAAATTTACGTGTCAGAATGCTTTACTATATGCATATGGTTTCCTTCTATTATTAACTATTTCACCGCATCATCAAGGTAACACTAGCATTGCCCTAATAAATAAAATCTATTAATAAATGACATTCCCAGTATCAGTCCATTTTACATTGGCCGTCACTGCCAGTGCCATTTGCGTCTGCAGGAAAACCTGGTGTGGCGGAGGGGCTGGGGACAGTGAGGGGGCCTGGGTCGCTGTGAGGGGAGAGAGGCTGTGAGGATGCCCTGGCCCCCCCTGCGCCTCCCCACCTCGCTGCCCGAGGCTGCTAATGCCGTCACGGAGCGCCTCTGACGTCACCCACCCCGGCGGTACGTCACGGCCCGGTGACGTCATCAGCAGGGCGGCGAATGCCAGTCCGTGCCCTTCACAAAGATGGCGGCGGCGGCTACTGGCGGGGCGGTGGCTATGGGCGGGGCGGG